GGTAATTGCTGAATAACACATTTTAAAGACCTGAGTAGTCTTCTTTCCTATGGTTATTATTCATGACTGATCTTATGTGATGATCAGGCTTGTTCCGCATCCCACAACCATGGCTCTCCTATACTCTAACAAAATGCCTAAGAGTAATAGTCAGGAAAGTGGTCTAAAGGAAGTAGAACCTAAATCAATAAAATGGGGAGGGAAAGGAAGTGCATCTCCATCTAGGAACAGCCTGGAAAGGAGCAAGGGCCTCACGACAAGGCCGGGCTATGTTCACCAGTAAGCCTAGTGGAGACTGCCGCACAGTGGTGCTGTCCTGGACACGTGTCCCCACCGTCCTTAAACCCTGCCGTGGGCGCCGGCGTTGAGGAGATACTCCTCAGCATGTGAGCGGACAAGCACACCTCTTGGGCCCTGCAATGACAGTCACGAGAAGAGGTTCTCACAGGCCTTAAAGTGTGTTCCGAGCTGTGTGGCAGAAAACTGATGGTCCAAAGTGCTCTATGGAGAGGGTACAGCTGGATGGAAGAACAGGGGTTTCAGTGAGCTCAGGGCACAGCACTGGGTACTTGTACCTAAAGGTGGCACAAATGGAATGTGAAGACAAACTTTTAAAAATTTCTGGACACACTCTCCCAAGGTTTGGGCTTAAAGAACCCCACCCATATGCTCGCATTCAAATGTGATGTAGCTTAGCCAAACATCTCAGCCCTGATTGGACAGAAGCATCTCCACAGACTGCTCCACTTAACCTTCATGAGCAAGACTTTCTTCTGAATGGCTGCTGCCAGGAAGGAAGGACTTCTTCTGGAATGTTTCAACCTCAGGGCCATATTCAACTCAGAATAAGGCAGCCTGTCATCGCTGGCAAATTCAGAAAGGGACCAAAAGAGCTTCTGGCCAGTCCCTGTGCATCCTACAATTTAAGGGATCCCACCTCTACATACACATCATTAGACCTAACATCAGTTAGGAAGATTTGGAGGGGGGGTTAAAATTTCCTGAATGGACAATCACAGCTAAGGACCTTATGTTGGAAAGCCCTGAAGCCTTAAGATTTTTTTTTTCTGGTCTGTTGGTTGAGTGTTCTCCTCCCTCCCACCAATCCTTAGTGTCGTCACTTAATGCCTCATGGTTTTAAAATAGCTGCCTGAGCACCGGCATTACATCTGTGTTCAAGGCAGGAAGAAGGGTAAGGTAGAAAATGAGAGCATCTAGGATGTCTTTTTTTTTTTTGTCTTTTTTTTTTTTAATATTTATTATTTCTACAGTGTTCTGCCTGCATGTGTGCCTGTACACCAGAAGAGTGCGCCAGATCTCAGTACAGATGGTTAGTACCCACCATGTGGTTGCTGGGAATTGAACTCAGGACCTTAGGAAGAACAGCCTAGTGCTCTTAACCTCTGAGCCATCTCTCCAGCCCCTTTTTAAACTTCTAATCATGAAAAAGACAGTTTTCCACGAAGCCCCCTAGGTGACTTCAGCACAGTGTCGCTGGGCCACCCTGAACTGCAAAGGAAGCCACTGGGGTTATTTCAGGACGTGGAATGGGTGTAGGTTATATGTTTGCTGCTCAACGCATCTGCCACAGAAAGGCAAGTGCTAAAAGATGCAACAGGCAGGCCTAACCCCATGTGAAGAAAGGCTCAAGCCTGAATTGCCTCTGAAAGGCCTGAACCAAAGCTGGCAACTGCAGCACCATTCTAAAGTATCCATGGCTTGGCTGAAAGAAGTGCATTATCACAGGAGGGGTCCCTTTAGTCTTTAGTTCTTTGCTTAAAAGCAGTCACAGAGGCAAATGGAAATGAGCACATGGCTTTAGGATTTTAGCTTTCAGGAATAAAAACAATAAGGTCAAGTTTCAATTGACAGCTACTCACTGCCCTGGAGGTGGTAGGAAAACAGCCTTCCTGACTTGCTCACACCTGTGGCATCCACCAAATTTCAGCGAGGGCACAGTCCCTGGCCTCTCCAGGAAAGCTGGAGGCTATAAGACCCTCCACTTGGAATGTCAACTCTCAAGAGGGAGAAGGAAGCCCATGGGGGGTTCTTGGGCATCAGTAAGAAAGAGCCCAATAGGTACTTCCAGGCAGAACTGAATGATGACGCATAATCTCAGAAAGGTACCGTGGATAAAGCTCCTGCAAGAGCTCAGTTCTCAAAGCTGCTGTCCTACAGTGGCAGAGAGGCAGACACCGGTCTGGTTCAAAAGGCACCTAGAACAGGCTTCGTGCCCAGTGAGAGGAAGGCACTGCAGTCAGGGCCCCCAGAGGTCAAGATGCAGTCTTGAAGGGGAGCTGGCACCTCTGGCCAAGCATGTGGGAGACTGGGAAAGCCCGGTTTCTCCTAATAGCGACACCTATTCTGAGCCATGGCACTCCAACACCACCACTTTCCTTTTTACTTCTGAGAGGGCACCAGGACAGGATGTCCTTAGCTCAGCTTTAGTTTCAGTACCAACACAACCAGATTCCTCATCCTGGGGCCATTAGAGATGGCCCTTCCCTGATGAGAATGGCTCCATGTCCTTATGGCCACATGTGTTGATAGAGCACTTTCTGCCACAGGTTCTTATGCTGCAAATAAGCCAGAGACTATATGACTATTTCTTCCTAACAGCCTTCTGTATATGCTATGTTCCAGCATGCTGCCAAGGCAGTGTTCTGGGCTGATCCTGGTCAGGTGGCAACAGGGAGGTGGGCCAATGAGCTGATTCATAGGAACACACAGTCTGCAGGGAATAGGCAGAACCAACTACTGGGTCAACATACGGCAAATAAAATGCTCTCAAGGCAACGCTGTTTTAAGAATTCTGCAGTTCTTACATTTGGATTGGGGTTGCCCCAGGAGGTGCACATGATGAAAGCTTGTCCTTAGGGAGCCCCTATTGGGAGGTGGTAGTGTGAGGAATCTTAGTGGGAGGAAATTAGGTCACTGGGGATGTGCCATTGAAGGGGCCGTCAGGACTCCGACTCCTTCTGCTTCTTGTTTCTGGGTGGCAGAGTGAGTAGCTTTTTCTACCGTATATCCTATTGTGATGTGCTGCCCCTCCACAGGCCCAAAAGCAATGGGCCAGGCAACTGAAAGCTTGGAGATCCTGAGTCAAAATGAACCACCTTCTCAAGGCTGATTTAACTCAGTAACTTCGTTACAGTAATAGAAAGCCAACTAACACAGCTTGGTAAATGTACCTTATGATACTGAATCATTGGAGATGATTAAACGTGTGTTATGTGATTTTCAGCTCGGCCAGGGAAGTACTGCATTATGACACTTGTTGACATCAGGAAGTACTTCTATCTTATTAGCTGCTTCCCGGCCTCCTGTGGGCTAGAAACAGCCAGAAGTTTTTGTTTTGTTTTGTTTTTCAGATAAGGAAACCCTAGCTTTGTGGTAGGTACAGGAAAGTAGGTGTGCTAGCTGCTAGGTGAATGTTTGCTTCATGAAGTTTCCAAAGCTCTCAACTCAAAGATATGGCTCCTTTGTGTTTTGGGAAGCTAAGCCAAGGACGGAGCTGTCCCTCAGAAGCAGTGTGGTAAGAGAGTGGGGAGTTCTGCTGACTAAGGCATGTCTTAAATGGCTTTTAAATTTTATAATGTGTATAGTTCAGCATTTTACAAGAATATTCACAAAGTCGCCTAGCCACCATCACCATCTAATTTCAGAACATTTTCACCATCTCAGGAAGGAACTGTAACAACTGGCAGCCATGCCCAACCCTCTCTCCTCTACCTGCTGGGCATGTTCATCTTCTTCCTGTCCTCACAGATATGCCATCCTGAGCATGCATTAGAAATGGAATTGTGTGGCTTTGTCCTTTCCTGTCCAGCTTCTTTCACTTACTAGAAGGTTTTCAAGGGTCACCAGTGCTGTGGTATGAACCAGCACTTCCTTTCTGTGGTCACACAGGCCATTTCTGAACACCCAGGGTTTCTTCCTGGTGTGGAGATGATAGGAAGTAGACTAAATTTAGGGCAACAGAAGAGGGCTCCATGCTGGTGGAGTCCACAGACATCCTTAACCTTGCCCCTATGATCTGCTTTAGATAAAATATGTAAAATATTGATATTAGAGCAGACCCATTAGCAAAGGTCCTAACTGGACTGGACTTTTTCCAACACACTCTCCAAATTGACTACATGGCCAAACCTACCACCTACATAAAGGTAAGGCCAATGACATCCAATAAATATCTGCTGGACCTCTTTCTTCCAGGGGCTCGTGCTTACAGAGTCACAGGAAAACTTAGGAATCCCTCACTCTTCATTGAATGCTTACATCAAGGCCTTTAAGCTTCCGGGGACGGGACCCCTGTGCTTGATCTCTAACACTACCTGTAACCTCCCTCATGTCCATTTCACCTCCAGGTAAAGCCGATTTAATACCTAACAGCATACTAAAAGGCTTTTCCACTGGGTATACAACATCAGCTATTCATACAGACTTTCTTCTGTGTTCCCATCTTCACCTATTTAACAGGAAGCAAAAACGGAATTGTCATTCATGATTTCAGAAGAAGAAAAATGGTGGCCCTAGAAAGGAAAGAGCTCAAGATTCATTGGCAAAAGGTGTCAAAATTAAAGCAGGGTCCTATCTGTCATCCTACTACTCTGGATATAATCAGGAGGTCAGCTGATAAAACATTCCTTCCAGAAAAAAAAAAAGGAGAGCTATCAGTCCATTTTCAGAAGCCTAGATTTTAGAGCACACCTTTAAACCCAATGTGTATTCCTTCTGACACCAGGCCACATATCCAGAACATATCCAGCAGCAAACTACTTCAGGGTAGTCAATTCACATGGCTCCCTCCGTTGCTGAGTCCACCGACACAGACCAAACTCACCATAAACCGAGAAACAAAGCAAAATGGTATACGTTCAATTTATATGAAGGTCCAGAGGAAGACTAGGCCTTTTGACATGTCAAGCTTCTGAGGACAAGGTCTGATGAACACTCCCCGTCCCAGCCTCCCCTGCCTCCCCCTCAACCACACTTCTTACCCTCCCTTCGAACTTGGCATTGGCTCCTTCTTTAATGCAGAGGTTCCGAGGAGGCAGAATAAAAGCAGGGGCCTCAGTGAGGGGCATGGAGCTGGCTCTCGAGGGATCCACAGCATGGGAGGTTTTGGACATGTGTGAGGAGGCGAACAGTCTGACGTCCCCCATGGTCTACAAAGTGAAGAAGAACAAGTCAGGCCTTACAATGTGCAGCACGTCATCTTCCTCATAGATACAACTTGCCCAGCCCTATGGTTCAAGCTCTGAGGAGCAGGGGCACGGTACCTGGAGTACCTCTCTATGGCTTTGCCACATATGGAACCAGGCAAGACAGACCCCAGCCACCAGGCCATGCCTGCCATCGTCGTACCCACTCACAGTTTCCATCTGTCTTTTGAGAGAGCACGGCTTGGATGAGACCAGGGAAACTGGGTTGCTTGTAGGTTTCACAATAGGCCTGTGTTCAACTGGCGTCTACGTGAAGCCAGCTGAATACAGGTGGGAAGTCCTAGCTGCTTCTGCCTGAACTATAAGAACTCATACAGTTAAGCTGCAAACAATGGCATCAAAACTCCAAGAAAGTCAGGAGATTGATGTTAATGTTATTTATAATCTCACCTTTAGTGCCCAAGTGAGAAAGAAGGTGAGAGTTGGTAGCTGAATGAAGGGGTAGTCAACCCAGGGACTACATTGTAGAAAGACTCAAAGGCCAAAGCATTAAAAAAAAAAAAAAAAAAAAAGGAGGGAGGGACTGGAGCAATAGCTCAAGAGGTTAAGAGGACTGGTTGCTCTTTCAAAGGTCCTCAGTTCAATTCCCAGCAACCACATGGTAGCTCACTACCACCTATGATGAGATCTGGTACCCTCTGCTGGCATGAAGGCACACATGCAGGCAGAACACTGTATAAATAAATAAATAAATAAATAAATAAATAAATAAATAAATAATAAACAAACAAACAAATAATCTTTAAAGCAGAGGAAGGAAGGAAGGAAGGAAGGAAGGAAGGAAGGAAGGAAGGAAGGAAGGAAGGAAGGAAGGAAGGAAGGAAGAACTGGAAGATCATCTAGGCTGTCTCTTCATTTATAACTATGGTCCAGAGAGGCTAAACCTCAAAAGAGGGAGAGCAGAATGATGCCATCAGTGCCAAGAATACCGTGAACCTAGGATCCTGTCCAAGGCAGATATGGGACTAGAGAAGACCTATCTGCAGGCTGGCAAGAACAGCTAGGACTAAGAGGCTGATGTGAACGGGAATAATGGCTACCCACCGAAGCAAACAATGTTTAACTCCTTTGAGTTGCTTCTTCTCAACTCAAGTATGTTTCAAGGTAAAAAATTAGAAAATACCAATGCGCAAAAAAAAAAAAATAATTTCTATCTTACTGGGGGGTTGGCAAGATGGCTCAGTGAGCAAAAGGCACTTGCCACTAAGCATGATGGCCTAAATTTGATCCCCAGGTCCCGTGTAGTAGAAGGGAAGAAATGACTCCTTCATGCTATCCTCCATATGCACACCATGGCACAGGCACATACACACACAAAATAAATAACATCTTAAATTGTCACTTAGTGAACACTCGCCCTGTTTCAAACATTGTGTGGAGGACCTTTGTCTATGACCTCGTTTTTAAAAGTTTTGCTTTATCATTTTATTTTCGGCCGACATAGTAACCCATTGTATTTATGGGATACAATGTGAGGTCTTGGTACATGGCATCACACACCCAAGTCAGGACAGTCAGCTCATCCATCCCCTTGGATAGTTACCACTTTTTTGCGGTGATGATAGTCAGAACCTTCTTCCAGCTGTTCTGAAATGCGCCTTATTGTTAACTACAGACTTCTCCCCGTGGAACTCCAGCTCTTGCTCCTCCCATGTAACCTAATCCTAACACTCCCGGAACTGGACCTATCTTTATGCAAATGAGGAGGCTACAGTGAGCGGCAGAAGTGAGGGTGGAGTCGTGCAGAGAGCAAACCTAAATTTTCATAAAATTAAGTGGATAAGAAGCTTTTAAGAAATCTGATTTGGTGCACACCTTTAATCCCAGCCCTCAGGAGGCAGACAGCCTGGTCTATAGAGTGAGTTCCAGGACAACTAGGGCTACAAACCCTGTCATGAGAAAAATAATAGAGAGGGAGGAGGAAGGGAGGGTGAGAGGAAAGGAAAGAGGAAGGAGGGAGGGAGGGAGGTGGAGAGAGATCAAGGTAAATGTTATTTAAAGTCTGGGGAGATGGGCCAATGGGCAAAAAGCCCTTATTCCACACACAGGACGACCTGAATTAGGATCCAGAGAAAAGCTGCACAAAGCCATGTGCCTAACCCCACTGTTGTTGGCGGTGGAGACAGGGGGATCACTGGAGTTGGCCACCAGTCTAGCTCCAGGTTCAGTGGGAGATACCACCTCAAAAGAAGATGGAGAGAGACAGAACAGGACATCTGAAGCCCTCCCATGACGTCTGCACACGCACACAGGTGCACGTACATACATATCCATGTGTATATGGCCTGTCTGTCTGTCTCACTCTCTTACTCACTTTCTCTGTTACACACAGAGAGAGAAAGAAAGGTAGGAAGAAAGAAGGGAGGTAAGGAGGAAGGAAGAAAGAAATAACCTGATTTAAACAAATTAAGAAATGGGTGTCTGATTAGCTCCCTCCTACTGGCCACTTAGTGGTTTCTACACTGCAAACACTTAGTGAGCATGTCTGTGTGCAAGTTCTCTGCCTGACAAACCTGGTTTCTCTTTCACTGATAAGGCCTGAGCTTTGTAAACAAAATTCCTTTCCAAATGATAGCACTCTCAGGCTGGCTGCAGGAGGGAACAAGTAAGGCAAGCACCTGACTCACATTTCATGTGTGTCAGGAACATCCTCTGTAGACACACAGTTCATTTACTCCCAGCAGCACTAAGCAACAGCTAACCTCACCATCCCATTTTAAGGCTTAGAAACCTGTCCAAGGATTAGAAATGTGTCCAAAGTCAACATGAGACCAGTGCGTGTGCCCTGGGCATTGTGCTTCCTGCCACAGAGTTGAGGTAACGGTAAAAGGTTGAAGGCTGCTCAACTGACATGCACTTAAACATTTCCCTGTAAGATTAAGATTTCTTTTTGGCACATTAAAGCATGTCATCTACATTAAAAGACAGATGATAACATAGGAGAAAATGTTTGCAATGAAAACACAGGGCCAGCATATTTTCACAGAATAAGAAATCATTCCACGGCATGAATGGGCAGAGATGTGCATTGCAGAGTAAACAGATGAATGCTGCCTCCCTCCACCCTCACCCCCAAGCCCAGGAACATTCGGGGCTGCACATCAACCATAACCTGTGTTTTCCTAAGCTAGATGAAATACACCAAGGGAAACAAAACAGCAACAACAAAAAACAAAAACAAAGCAAACGAACAAATCAACAGAAACAAACACCGCTGGTGAGACCACGGCGAGACAGGCACAATCATACTCTCCTAGGAGTCCAATAAGCCATACTCCTGGAAAACTGGAAAGCAATGAGGCAGGAGGATTCTGGAGAAAAGGGTGTCCGCTTTTTCTAGTAATCCCGCACGTAGAAATACATTATCAGAAAAGAATCTGAGCAAGCCAAATATACTGACGGCATTACTTGAATCAAAAGCTAGACATAGGGAAAAAATCCAGAATGACAGTTAGCTACATACAGGGGCACATACAGAAAAACAAACAAACAAACAAAACAGAATCAGTGCACGCAAACATTCCTTCACTGAGAGTCAGCAGTTAGCATCCTCTACCTCTGTATTATTTTGCTTTGTGTATATATGCGTGCATGCCAAGTGATAGTTAAATACACGTATGCGATATGTACATGATTAAATGCAGTGACTACAGGTCCATCTCCTTGGACACCGCTTAGTTTTTCCTTAATATGTAGTAAGTTGTTGGAGCTTGGGAACTGACTGCATTTTGGTGCCTGCTGTGGTTTCGAGGTGGATTATCTAGCAAGGGCTCATGTGTGACAGGCTTGCTCACTAGGCCATTGGGGATTTGCTCTTGATTGGGACACTGGGACCCAGCCCATCCTCTGTCCCTCTTTGCTTTCTGGTAGTCCTACAGCTTCCTCCACAGTCCAAGACGCTCTGCTCTACTACAGGCCCAAAAGCATGGAATTAACTAACCTCTGAAGCTGTGGGCCAAAATGAACCTTTCTTCCTTTAGGCTGATTTCCTCGGGCATTTCTCCACAGTGTAGAGAGCTGATAATAAACATCAGTTATCCAGCTTCCTTCCATACCCTTTCAAGATAGACTCTCCACAGTTCTACTTTCTATTTCTAAAAAATTGTTTTTTTACATTTCTAAATCTGGATTAAAACACTTCTGTTATTCTGTACTTAGCATACTGTCCTCTAGTCATCTACATGTTGTCACAAATAATGAATTTCTTTTTTTAAAGGGTAAAAAATATTCCACTCTGGGTAAATATTATGTTTTCTTTACCCAGTCATCCACTGTTGGCTACTTGACTTGATTCCATGCCTTGGTTATTGTGAACAGTATTGTAATGAGTATGAGAGCTCCAATACATTCTATCTGATATGATTTTTAAATTTTTAAAAAATTTTATTTGTATGTGTCTATGTGAGTGTATGCTACATGCATGCAAGTATGAGTAGCCTGGAAAAGGGCAGTGGATTCCCTAGAACGGGATTTAGATGAAATTGCAAACTCTCTGAAATGGGTGCTGGGAACCAAACTTGGGTCCTCTGGAAGTTCAGCAAGTGACCTTAATTGTTGAGTCATCTCTCCAAGCTTCCAATATGATTTTAATGGCAAGAATGAAGAGACATTTATTCACTCAAAATATATTAACTGAGCACCTATTGTGTACCAAACCAGCCACTATGTATAAAACAACGAACAGTTACGTGTGGGAGGAGGGTCGTTTGTACTTGTGTGATGCATGGGAGTGTGGTAGTGAGAAGGATATGAACGGGTTCTTACACCCTGCATGGCTACCTAGAACCACAGCCTGGGAAGAGCACTGCTTCATCCACACTCAGTACACTGCCACTGAGGTGAGTGACAGATACACAGTGCAGCCAGCTCTAGAACTGGCGTGGAGGTGATCCAAGCACAGAAGACTCAGGCTTCTTCAACTTCACCACAAATTCAGCGACACTGAATTTGCTGATTTCCAAATATGGTTTGGTCAAGGGACCTCCATTGTCTTTGTCTCTTTCTCTTCTGTCAAGTGGGAGCAGTATGAACCTTGCAGGGTAGAGAGAGGACATGGGTGGGAATGCAGTATACATAAGCCAGAATCATAGTGTGAAAGACACTAAGTGAGATCTGTCACAGCATCCAAAAGAAAGCCCATGTCTCACCCTGCGGACACAGACCCCATCATCAAAGACAGCAAGGAGCCTATGTGGGCTTACCTATCCTCAGACAATTCTGCGGGAAGGAGGCCTGCGCTTCCCGGCAACCTCTAGCTATAGTATTTTGTGCCTATGGCAGATAGGGAATGCATCTCTTGGGTCCCTCACATCTGATCCCCCAATCCTACAGACAGTTCTCAGGGTGCCCTTTCATGAAGGACAAGGGAGCACAGTAAACCAGCTATGCTTCAAGGTCACCGAGCTTGGAAAACAGTAGGAACAGAGAGCCATCATGTCTGCTGGCTTTCTAGAGGTCCAGATTGTCCTCAGTACCTGAAGGTGCAACAAGCAGGGGCCTGAGCGTTGCCAGAGGAAGAAGGGCAGAAGAGGTGACTCCACGTTGTGGCTTGGGGTATCGCCCCATGACCTACTTGTTCAAGGTTTGGTGTTTAGATTTTTGAATCTAATCACTGAGCAGTGACTGGTTCGTCAGTGGATTCCTACATTCATGAGTTCATACCAATGGGGTGGGGCCTAGTTGTAGAAAGTAGATCACAGGAAAGGGGGCCACCTTTGAAGGGCCTCTCCCTGTCCCTGCACTTGCTTCCGGGCCATTGTGAGATGAGCTGTTCTCTCCAGCACATCCTTCCCCAAGATGTTCAGCCTCACTATAGGTCCAGAACCAAGGAAGCCAACCAACAATGGACTGAAGTTACTGGCCAAAGTACATCCCTCCTGCTTCTGAATCATTTCTCTGAGGCACTAGTCACAATGATGAAAACTTAACACTCTCTGCTCTAGAAGACAAAAGACTCCCCAGCCTTTGAGGACAGTAGGAAACTGAGAGAAGTGAAGCCAGGCCCCAGAGTGTCTCTCCAAACCTTCATGACTCCAAATCTGCTCAGTCCATCAAAATCTCCAGAGGGTCCCAAATGCTCTCATCAGTAGAAACATACCTGGGCTAGGGGGATAACTCTAGTGGATAAAGGTAATTGCATTGCTCTGCAAGTGTGAGGTGAGTTGGAATCTCCAGAATCCATAAAAACCACACATGTTGCAGATACGGAAGAATCTGGGACGCTCAGGGCCCACCTAGCCTGGCATACACAGCACCAGGAGAAACAACAGCAGCCTTGGCTCAAACAAAATGGAAAGTGATGGCCTATATCCAAATTGTTCTCTGGCCTCTACACCCACACTGAGGCACCCGTGAGGCACACTGAGGAACATTCACATACATATATGTTCACTCATACATTAAAAATTTTAATTTTAATTTAAAAAGGGGCACACTTGGCGTAAAGAACAAAAGACAAGATGGGGTTTGGCTTCAGGTTGAAAAAACACAGAGAAGTCAATGCTGCCAAGAACCACCCCGTTCCCTATGAGGAGGAGGATGGCTCCTCTGTCGCAGGAGCAAAACCAAATCCAAGTCTCAAACAGCTCAAACAGCTCTGCTCACCCTCAGCCCATTGCCCCGTAGTTGCTGTCAGATTCCAGTCATAGTGTCAACTGATGGCTACTGCATATTTGGGGAAGAATTAATAATACATTGAGCCAAACCCTTCTTATTCCTCTCTGACCCACATCAAGCCTGGTGACCACATTCCGGGGCGAATACCAGAGGAACTGGATGATATCTGCAGCAATCTCTATCAGCAGGGCCATACTGAGCAGCTGCAAACCCCCCAGCCAGGGGGTTCATTCAGTACTCCTCCAGATACAGACCAATAGACAAAGAAGAAAGAGAAAAGCCCAAGGGAGGGGTCAAAAGAGCAGTGGTCCACTGATTCTGCGTCAAAGCCAAGCTCCATATAAGGTTTCTACAAGTAACGCAATTTATTAATCACTCAAAGCAGCTCTGAGTGGATTGGATTTTAATTTGATCAAAAGCGCTTTAAATCGTCTCTTGAACCTAGAAAGGAACTTGCCACCTCGGCCAAGGGAGAGTGCTGCTCTGAGACACAGAGACTCAAAAAGTCAAGTTAGCCAGAGAAGTGGGTTTGGGACCACCAATTGCCCCTGCACTATTCTTGGAAGTCACAGGACAGCTTGGAAACACCTAATCTTCCCTGCTGGGAGGCACTCACAAGCAGGTATCCTGCCTGTAAACCCCCAACAGCACACAGCAGAGGTGACAAAACCACTCTCCTACAAACACCCCAGGCACTGATGGGCCCCTTGTGCCCTCCTTAATCCTCTCTGCAATGTGCTCGCTCGAATCCTGACAAATACCCTAATCTCTCCTAATCCACCATGGAGCTGCTCCTCAACTGTGCCAGCCTGACTCACCAGGACCCACCCAAGCAAAGCCAAGCAGGGAAACACAGGGCTACCCCCACAGACACACCTGACGGCAGCTGCCTCCCCAGGCAGCTTCCACAGAAGGCGGGTCAGAGGCCAGCTTCACTGCTGCTGAGAATCTGGTCCAAGGTCCAGCAAGAGAGGAGAGAAAAGGGAGAGCCGAGCACGCAGAGCCTGGGACAGACAGAGAAAGTAAGGGGCTTTGTTCTAACTCTCCTCGCAGATGTTGCAACTTGCCTTCTGCGGGGCAGCCAACTTTGCTGGGAGATCTGTTGTTCTAATCCGCCCAGCTGGGGTGACCTTTGAAACCCCTGGCCGCCACTGCGGAGACGCTCAGTGAAGGCTCGGGAGCCAGGGGTGGAAGCTCACAGGTTTCAACTTGTTCAGAGTTGCAGGCTCCAATCTGAGTGTAAAGCAACTGGAAAGACCCTGTAGAGCAGAGAGGGAACTGAGCCCCAGATGGGCTGGGCAATTCCCCAATTCCACATCTGGCCAGGACTGCCACTCCAACCCGTTGGTGCATCTGGCCTGGGATTACCACCAGTCCATGAGACATGCCTTCTGAGACACAGCTCTTTCTTCCTTAAGCCAAATGGAGCTCCACTTGTGTCTAGTGCAGAAGGCACGCTCAGGAGGCAGATGACTGTAGCGGGGACACAGCTGAGACTAGAGCTGGAATAGAGCTCTCAGCAGCATTCACGTGGAGCTTGGTACACAGTGTTGTTCCATGCCAGTGAGCCGTAGGAGCTGGGCTCAGAGCGCATGATACCTCCATCCCTCCTGTGGACACGAAGGAATTCCCCCAGTTCCCAAGGAACAGACCAAACAGCCTGAGCTTAAGCCCTGTTGGGCGGCGGTGGAGGGAGGCAATGCCCCAACACCTAGGACATCCTTGATCTCCCAGCTCAGAGGCGGAAGCCTATGTGATCTCAAAGCTCCTTCATATCCCTTAAACTTATTACAGACCCAAAGACTTTTGTATGTGAGTTATTGCTATGAAGGTTTAGTGTATTTGGTATTAAAATTAAATAGTAATGCACATAAAACATCAACAATAAGCCTACATGTTGATGTAATTTTTCTTGTTTTCTTTCTTCCGAGGCAGGACTTCATTGTGTTGGCCTAGCTGGCCTCAAATTCCAGAGCTCAAGAAATCCTTCTGGGCCAAGAGAGGTGGCTCACCTCTTCAGAGTATTCCCTGCTCCGCTGGAAGACCTGAGTTCAGTTCACAGCACCCACATCAGGCAGTGCACAATAGTCTGTAACTCCAATCCAGAGGCTCTTAATGTCTTCTGACCTCCTCAAGTACTAGAACACACACGACATGTATTCACACAAACATATACAAATAAAAATAAAATAGAGAGAGGAGAGAGAGCGGGAGAGAGTTCTTCCCAAGTAGCAGGACCTGACTACAGGCGAACAATATAAATATTTTTGAAAGAAAAATATATTTTCTGATAAAAGTTTAGTAAGAAGTTTAGTTCTGCTGCATGTGTGGTGAATGTATGGTTCTGGACATGGAGGTCATGGCCTCTCACACTTAGACAAGTGCTGTACCACTGAGTTACAGCCCAATCCTGCAAATTTTTATTTATTATCATTACTGTCTGTATGTATGAGGGGGCACATGCGATGGTTGCAATGTGGAGGTTAGAGCTATAGAGCCAGCTCTCTCTTCTCACCTTGATGTAGTTTCCAAGGATCTAACTGAGGTTGTCAGGCTTGCTGGGCAAGTGCTTTACCCACTGAACCATCCTGCCAACTCACAAGCGTCTTTAATGCCCAGCCTAATAATGGATCTTTCCATCTGTTTCTGCGTCTGGTCTACTGTGACATCACAGTATCTATAGATGCTAGGAAATGACACCATATGGGGAGATAATAGAAGTAGAAAAAACAAATGTCATATACTCAAAAAATAATCTAGGCTCCAAAAGAGGCTCAGGGCCTTCCCTGATCATATGGTAAGTCCCCAGATCACACTTTAGAACCTAATCCCAGCTAATCTCTCAGCTCCCTCTGTTACCATCTGTTCTCACTTATGACCCTCTTCAAACACCCCAGAGTAAAGGGGAGAGTGGTTGTCTCTGAGCAGTGACGTACAGCCCTAAGGAACAAGTGAGGACTAGTATAAGTCAGCACCTTAGTTTCATTCTATCTCTTCTTCCAGACAGAAAAATTAATCACAGAAAAATTAGAAGACTGACACTCACATTGATGGAAATCACTTTCGGTCACTTAGGTCCTCGGCCGGGACTGGAGGATGTTGCACACAGAGACACTCCAAATCCTTTGGCTCCAGAGGGAAAAACTTACAGACACCGAAGCTGTTCACAGAGAATGGAGGGGATCCATCCCAAGCCTTCTCAAATAGGACTTCTGGTTGTGAATCACGTGACTGGAAAGTTGCTTTAAATTGGACAAAACCAGGAACAATGTCTGGGCTAAAAGCATGGAAGACATATCTCAAGCCTGAGGGCTCCCTCAAGCACATGGAATGACTCAAACTTGAATAAGCCTAAAGATTAGCACCATGCGTCAGGACGTGGGAGGAAATTTACATAAAAAGCAGTATACCTAAGTTAAAAAAACAAATGCCCAGGAACAAAATAGCTGACTGGTTGCACTGCACAGACTTCCGGCCTCACAAAGATAAGTCTGGATCCTGTGATATGCACACTTATCAAATCCTTGACATTGTCTTCATCCCATACGTCACAATAAAGCAGTGACCATTTGATTAAGACCATCTCTCTCCCTAGTGGAAAGCAAGCTATACCAAGATAAAGGGCATGCATGCTTTTACTCAGTGCTGTACTGCCAATGTCTATTATGCTGACAAGCACAAAATATCTTCTAAACAAATACATGTGTATTCCACAAATAAATAGAGAATTTTATCTTAAAAATTTACAAGTCACTCTCGTGCTGGCTAGTTTTATGCCAACTTTACCCAGCCAGAGTCATTTGGGAAGAAGGAACATCAGTTGAGAAAAATACCACCATCCATTTTGCCTGTAGGCAACTCTGTAGTACACTTTCTTTATTAATGACTAATGTGGGAGGGCCCAAATCACTGTGGGCAGGCCTACCCCTGGGGTGGGCCTGGATGCTGTAAGAATGCAGGCTGAGCAAGCCAGTGAGCAGCACTCTTCCATGGCTTCTGCGTCAGCTCTCGCCCGACTTCCCTGAACGATGAACCACAAGCTATAAGAAGAAATAAACCCTTTCCTCCCCAATTTGATTTTAGTCATGGTGTTTTATCATAGCAATAGAAAGCCTAGCTAAGATGGTTTAAACCATAAGACCATTTAATTTTGTCATACATGGCATCACATTGCTGTTAGGGAAGAGACTGTAAGGAAAGGTGCAAATGAAACAGGTCTCAAGGGTAACAAATCTACTTCCCAGCCAAAAGGCCTGTTGGTGCTTGGCTCCAGGCCCATGGGTCCCAGCACTCTACACAATATGTTTGTGTAACACCTGCATCCTCTCTGCTCTTTTGGTTTTTAGTCTCCCGATTTCTGAAATGGGCATATCCATGCCTACCTTGGTGTTCCTGTCCAAAGCAGGAGCCTGGAGGTAGGAATTGAAGCAGAAGCCGTGGTGGAATGTGTCGTTCACTGGTTTGTTGTTCCCTGGCTCGCTCAGTTTGCTTTCTTATACATCCCAGAACCACCTTACCAGGCACAGCACTGCCCACAGTTGGCTGGGCCCTTCCATATCAATCACCAGTCAAGAAAATGCCCCAGAGGCTAGTCTATAGGCCAATCAATTGAAATTTCCCCTTCTCCAATGACCTTTGGCTTGTGTCAAGTTGACAAAAAAATATTTTTAAGGCATATAAGAATGTTCTCCAGATTTCCTGCTGGTTTCTGTAAGCAACTTGGATCCCGACCCACATGTTCCCACTTGAGAATGCTCAAGGTTACCCCACATTTGTCTCTCATCACTGAGTTCTCTTCCAGTCCATTAGACTGCTCCCTCCCCACAGATTCCTAGGCCTGCTTCCTGGAACACACATGAAAGACACACAGCTGCCCACAACCAAACCCTATCAGCAGGGCAGAAGGCCACACTTGGCAGGACAAGCCACTTGGGGGTTATCATAAAGGGAATGCAATATACACTCTCTTACATATACACATATGCATACTCACACAGTCTCTCTCTCTCTCTCTCTCTCTCTCTCTCTCTCACACACACACACACACACACACACACACACACGGATCTAACAAATACATATACCCGCCTACACACTGTCACAGTGAGAATGGCATAGCCTCGCTTCCTGGAGCCACTCTTTTGCTGGGACCCCCACTTAACTTGGGGTTTAATAAGAAGAAATGGAGAAAAGCTTTCTGCAAGCAAAGTCATATCTAATAAAACAAAAGCCTGAACCAGTAAACCTGATTGTGATTACAGTTTTCCAATACACATTCTAGTTACAATCTGAATGTTCACACATTTCGTTAACACACATCACCTTACAGAAAGAAATGTGGGGTGCCAAGTGGGGCTGTTGAGCTCCCACCATTCCCTTCCTCAATCCCACATGCCTCTTCACTCCAGTCTATATATTGCATTCTGAAGCCCATGAGCCGAACAGTGTGCACAATCAGGTTATGGCTGCCATACCAGCCTCAGACCTGAGATGCCAGGAAATAGATCAATACATGTGGGGAATGAAGAAAGCCTTGAGAGAATGTGTAAAGGATGGATGAAGCCCTGAGTGAAACTGTGTTGTCAATATGAGTGCAGCCATGTCAAGGACCCAATGTCTCACACCCATAAAAATGGCAAAGGCTTCCTCATACAGGTTCGGGCTCAGAATTAGCAAAGTCTTCCTCTGGTTCTGTCCAAATGTTGATGTGTGTTTACAAATGAATGGCCACTGTGTGCAGAAACTGGCAAGAGCAGATTCTGTTTCCACGATGTTTACAGCCTGAAACTGCTCTACAGAGTCCTCCTACCGAAACTAGCTAACTTCTCCTTGTGCTGTACCTAATAAATACTTCTGGGTTGTTGCATAGTTGGTGCCACTCTATCGGAGTGTACACAGCCCACCTGACCCCAGCTATTCTGTATGAATGGCTTTGTGCCTGTTCTTTCTTCGTTCCCCCCCTGCTACTAGTCAGGTCAAATCCAAATCCTTGAATCTAAATGGTTCTAAATGGCCAGTTGGGGAGAACTTCCACTTCCTCTGTTGCAGAACTAT